TGGAACGAATAAAAAAGGAAAAATGAAGAGTTAACTGAACGCCTTGGTCAACGGAAGAACAAACATTCTCGTTGATACCTACTCTTTCACGGAGAAAAACATACAAAATGGGAGGAAATTGATATTATATGTTTCTATGCTATCGATTGGAATTTTTGAATTATTTTATAAAAGTCATTTGAATAATGATTCGAAACTATTTAATTGAAGTGCGTTATTATCATTGCGCGTTTATCTTGTTTGTAATGCATTGTTTATAATATTCAAGTGTTGTCGAGTAATCATCGTTCAATGGAGTGAAATATAATAATTCGATTTGGTTAGGAATACAGAGTGGGACACTGGATGGAGTTTTTAAACCGATTTTAACAAATGTGCTTTTTTTTAAGTAGAAATTAAATATTACTTGTGCGTTGTCGATGGAAAATAGATGTACAATGAACATTGTATTCTATTGTTTATAGTTGATTCTCTAGGATAATAGTTTCAAAGGGGATAAAGAAATCGTAAGACAGCTGCGGTAACTGCGGTCTGGTAACTGCGGAATATCGCCAAGCGTACAATCCGAAATGAACTTCTCCCGAACCACACATCAGTTCTCAGTAGCCAGTTTACGACTGATTGAGATCCGTAATTACAACGTTCGTTATACTTTCTTTTCCTTTCTTGTCTCGCGTGACGTAATTCGAATCAGCCATTAAGTAAATCGAGACTCTTAATGTGGAAGTTCGACCGTTACGGCGAAGAAAAACGTGTGATAATTATACGAATCGGTAATTAATGTTGACTAATTACGTTCTCGAAACGTGACTTCTTGGAAAAGTAATTCACGCCTTCAGTTCTTAACTGTTTTATTCTATAAATACTCGATGTTACACACTTCGATGCTCGACGTAAACAATACACTGATTCCCAGAATGAAATCAACTCGATTAATTAAACAATTCTAAACCTTTGGCGTTCAAAAATAATTTTCCCTGCATTCCTTTAACCTCCACATAGCAATACGTCATTTCCATCAAACCATCGAAAAGTAATAATAAAAAGGAATAAATGAAAAACATCTGGGTTGAGGGCTACAAAAATAATATTGGCAACAGCCCGTGGTCGATTGGAAGTATCGCACGCGCGGAAGAAACTAAATGCCAGAGCTCACCGAAATATTCCAATCGAGGCCCTTCGCGGTGTGCGTGCGTGCATGCGTGCATGCGTGCGGGGAACCCGTTTCGGTTGGTCTCCTCGCAGAAAATCGGTCTCTCCTAATCTCAAAGTGTCTCGCCATACGCTCGTGTTCACGAGGGCCTCCCGACGCCGCGCCGAGTCTCCGCAGGAGATTACTCGCTTCTGTGGAGACCGGTCTGGTTTTACCAGTCGACCTTGAGACCAGCTGACAAACCGAGGAAGAAGAAGAAGAAGGAGTAGAAGCACCAGCGAAGAAGAAGAAGAAGAAGCGAAGACGACGGCGGCGGCAACGCGCGCGGTCTCTCGAAAAATGGTGGGATTGCGCAACGCTTCGAAATACCCGTGGCATTGGAACGCCCATCGTCGTCGTGCTCACCCTTGCTACATCCTCTTTCTGGGTACCCCTTTGTCTCAGCGGATTCGCGAACGGCGGGGAGAAAAAAACACGAACGAACGTTGTTTCGATCGTCTTTTTCCCCCAGTCTCTGTTTCTCTCCCTTTTTCTCTTTCTCTCCTTCGCCCGTCCGTTCGTCGCTCTTTCTTTCTCGTATACTGGCTCTCTCTCCCACTCTCTCTCCCTCCCTCTCATCTTTTTTCATCGATTCCGGTCTCTTTGTATCCTTTACACCGAACGGTCGGCTGGTCGGCCCTGTCCGACGGACGAATTTATTTTCGTGCACGCCTTTCGACTTCACCGGCAAGAGATTTATGCGAAATCGCGGCCTGTGCGGCGAATTTTCGAGCGCTACGAGGATTATTCATACTGGTGGTCGCTCGATGAGGTATTAACGGCCTCGTCTCTCCCCGCGTCGCGGCCCGGTCAAGCTCGTCTCTGAAAATATTTTTCGAGCAGTTGCCGTGACATGTTTCGTCGGCATGTGGATTTTTGGTCTGGCCGATTTTTTGGTTTAAAAGCTAGAATCAGTTCGATCGGATCAATCGAATTCATATTCTTCTTTTCATTTCCGTAATCAAAAATCCTTGCTCTCAGTTAACGTTTCCGTTCAATCCCATCGAAAGTTAACTTCTGTTACGAATACAATAGAAGCTATGCTTCAATGTATCACCATAAGTTATTCGATTACTTGATTACGTTCGGAAATACTAGTCCCAGCGTTGAAGTGCAAGGTCTTTCTAAGTTCTGTTGTACAATAATTCCATTGTAACACGATCTGGATATCGCGACCCTCGACCGACGAACTCTCTAGCAGCAATGAAGGGTGCCGCGAATATTCGCGACGGATTCCTTTAATTCTCCCTGCGGCTCGAGCTTTATTAAAACTCGAAACGCAGAGTTCGTTTGTCTGCAGGCTACTGAGAAGCTGAAGAGATTTTCATCGAAGAACCTCCTAGACCGGTCTCTCGTCCCTATCTTTTCTTCCCGTCTGTTTCTTGTTTCTTCGTCGCCATTAATAATTAATTATCCGCGGAAAGTCGCCCCTCTAATTAGAAAAACTTTGGAGCGCCCTTGGCGCGGGTGTTCGCGATTTCGAGCCGACCCTGGAGGAGTTTACGCGCGACCTTCGACTCATCGAGAGTCGGGCTTCTCGATGATCGCCGGATTCGGCTGGCCAAGCTTGTCTTATTAAATCGATCGCGACAACCCCGTCCCCTCAGGTCCCGCGATCTTACGCGGCGCGTCTCATTCTACACCGAATCATCATCCCGCATCGTCGATCGCGAGGAACACGGCCGATTGACGCGAACCTCACGATTCGAATTCATATTTCATGCGACCCGTCGTTTCCGCCTTGTCGATCGGACCTTGAGAACGTTTCACTGTCTTCTCGAAGATCTCTGCGTTAGTCGCGTGCGTGATCGACTTCAATATGAAGAATTTTTATTTATCTTCAAAGATTTTCTTCGGGAAGAAAAGGAAATTTTTAACGTTACTTTGACTTAAGTCGATATAAATATCGACGATTACTATTTCAGTTTCCGTCTGATTTCCAATTAAATTCTGTAGCTCAACTGGTTTTTAGGATAATCCGTGAAAGGAAATTCGTTTGAATTCTGTCTCGTTTGGATAACAGCCAGTAGAGACGTATTTTCTATGAAAACTATATGGAAATCAATGGATATCGCTTTGTTATACTTTCTCGGTATTGTAGTGCACAGAATTCAGTTTAAATAACGAGATTATTCATTCAGAAGATTCCGTGAACCTCGTTCAAACCGATTTCTGCTCCGCAGGGCGTAGATGTTGGTTGTAAACGAATTTTCCTTGATTCTTCCGAGCTGGGCGCGCAGTACATTTCTTTTCTTTCTTTTCCTTTCGTGCATAGCGGTTACAAAGTATACCTCGCCGCTCAATTAACGCTACGATTTACATATGGCTACCGTTCCGTGACAGTACAATGCGTTTTACGCTGATACGATCTTCGGGTCTCCTTCGACCCAGAAGCTATGCTTACCTCCTCGTCTTTTCAATTTACCGTGGCCCTCCAATTTGTTCCGATCTGATTCGATTCTTCTTTTCTTAATCTTTTAAGTGGGTAATTTTACAAGCCATGAACTTCTCAAGTTCCACGTGAACAACAACGATATTATACAACACTATTTATCTCGTCGTGAATGTTAAATATCATGCAGATTCCACTGACTCGGGTATTAAGTACAGTTAAGCTGTTAATCATCTAGATTTTCTTTTACTTCAGTTTAAATATTATTGATTTATAGAGGAAATTATATTCAACCGGCAAACTTTTTCATAAATGTCTGATAAAATATGCATTGCACGTCTCTCGTTTATATTCCCTTTTCTAAGTTTACACTTAGATATATTATATATTCATTGCTTCATCGAAAATTGTTTTCAAGTAGACGTATGAATCCTAAGTTCTCTGCTTTCGAAGATCAATCGAACTTGGATCGCGACGTTAGAATTGAAAATCTGAGAAAACAGTCGCGAATTAATTACGCTAACAGCTCGTTCCGCGAACGAGAGTCAGCGTCGATAAACGCCGCGCACGGCTCACAGGGAATTACAGCTCGTCCAAAAATCGTTCTGTCCGCTGCATGTACCCCTAATACGTCCATCAATAATGCAAACCCCCTAATCTCCGACGGAACGGATCGATGAGCATACCGAGGGCCGTTGAAATTTCGCGTGGGCTAATTAAAACGCGCGTCTGTTCCCGATTGATTGCACATCGAACGGTATCGATGGAATACGTGTTCTTCCACTGAGAAGGTACGACTGAATGAAACATTCACGAGGAAACTTGGTTCCTTTTACGAATGATTTCATCAGGATAAAAACAAGATGGTATGATGGTATGACGCTGTACGCTCGCAAAGGTCAACCTGACATTAGTATCTAAAAGCTATTCGAAGCATCGTCAGGTTATTCGGTCTGTTCATTGATACTCGACGTTTCAAACGAAAAGAAATACAAAGCAAACCGTAATCCCCGACCAAGCAACTAGGAGGTCGAAGCTCAAGAAAGCTGACAAAAATGAAAAGATGTATCGACGTCGATAATTCAAATAAACGGCAACACTGCCAAACCTAATGAAACATCAATGCACTTTTAACCGTATCGAACAAAAATAACACACGAATCCAGAGGTGAAACCATTTCACTTGAGCACCGCACATAAAATACTTACGCTACATTAGATTCAATATCGAACATCGAATTTTATAATTTCACCGTGTCGCATCACACGGTGACCGTGAGTCGCGTAGCGACCGCAAAGGGTTAAACGAAAAGAAAAGAGCACAAACACGCGAGAGAAACCTAACCCCAAACGCGACGAAGTGGTGGGTCTGGCAGAAAATTCCACGAAAGCGAAAAGGTTAAACAAAAAAGGAAATGATGAAAAACATAGGGATAAAAAGAGACCGCCGATGAACGAAGCAAGAAAGAGGAAAAGAAGGGGGTGGCCGGTGTACGCGAGCCGTAGAGCCCGCGTATTCCCGCACGCCAGAATTAAAAACCCCGACACGGAAGAACCGGGAAAGAGGGAGGAAGACGGTGATACAGAGAAGGCTGGCCGGTCGAGGGATTGGGGGGGCAAGAGAGATGCGTCACCGGTAGGTGGCGGCTACCACCCTCGCCCTCCGTGGCTCTTTTGAAGGTCAAGGTTTTCCACCCCTCTGTGTATATACATCTAGCTCTAGCTCTCTCTTTCGCTCGCATCCTGTGCCATGTATACGCACGCGCGTTCTCTCTCTCTCTCTCTCTCTCCCCCTCCCTCCCCCCTCTCTCTCCCC